TGAAATCACTAAGAGATTAAATTTGTCAAATTGAACTGTTTATGATTACTTGAAACAAATTGGTTTCGTTTCAAAGCTTGATATATGTTCTTAAAGAGAGAAGCTCTCTTTGGTGGGATTTTAAGGAATTTTTTTTTTTTTTGGAGCTTTTACCAGACAATTTAACAATTGATTCAAAAGTGTACTGCCATCAAGTAAACAAATTGAGTAATATCATCAAACAGGAAAGGCGGCCAGAATTGATCAATAAAATAGGTGTAGTGTTTTACCACGTTAATGTCAAATTTCACACAAGTTTGATAACTCGTCAGAAACTGTTATAACTTAGATGGGACGTGCTATCACACCAACCATATTCGCCAGATCGAGCACACTCAGATTATTACTTGTTCTGGTCTATACAAATGTTTTTAAACTAAGACATTTACTTGAAATGACAATGTCAAATGGATCATTTTTTTGTAAGCAACGATCAAAACTTTTATGAATGTGAAATCATGCTACTACCAGAAACAATGACAACAGGTATTTGACCAAAATGGTTAATATATAATTCAATAAAATATTTATTTATTATAAAAATATTGTGTTTTTTTCCATGAAAAAAAAACAAAATTATTTCCAAACAACCCAATATTATAATATATAATAATAATATGTATATATATTATTTAATGTATATAATATATTTATATTATTATACAGATTTACCTTGTTTTATAATAGGTTTCATTATTATTCTTCTTCTACCACCATTTTCTGTTTTTAATAACCATGTAAATAAAAATTATGAAATAAATATATTTTAAAAATAAAATATGAAAATATATTAAATTTTATTACAATAAGTGAAATGTAAATTAATAAATTTATTCTCTTTACAAAAACATTAATTAACTAATCACCAGGAGGACGATGGAACTGAGGTGATTTTGGTGGATGTGGCTCAATTGGTCTCTTTAAATATCCCTGAGTAGGTTCAGCAGTAAGATAGCTATATGTATATACTCTACTTAAATCTGTGATGAGAGGGTCTTTGTCAAGAAAGCTGCCAGGACTCAATCGACCATACTAAATAAAATATTAAAATCTTTTACTATTCAAATACTGAATTAAATATATAAATAACTTTTCATTAATATTTCTTTAAAAATTAAACATTGTAATTATGATAAAAGTAATTTTTATAATTATATTACATGTCTTATAAATTGAAACCATGTTTTTTATCTATGTTTATCTGTATGGCACAATGAAGCTGCTTTGATAGACACCAGGCTTTACTTTATATCCATCTTTATTCTGTTGTTTAGGTAATGATATGCATTTTGGACTCTTACTCCTCTTATGTCAGCTCTTTGTTATTTCTTATTCAACACATTGTATAAAACACATAAATAGATGGCATTCTTGCCTCTTTAAAAATGCATAAAACTAAAAAATACAGTTAACACTAATATATACATACAAGTTTTTTGATTAGTGTCAAAATGACACTTTCATGACAGAAAGTGTTGTTTCCTATAAACAACATATAGGAAATATTGCTTATGATATGTCTATATTCTGAATGTGTCTGCCTGTGATTGTCATTTATGTTATAATACATTACTACAATAAGTGCATCAGAGTAAACTAATATATGTATGTCTAAAAGTGTTGATTCTCATTGAATGTGGTTTTGGTAATGTGTGTGCATTTAGGTACTGTAGAGTGTTTATGCTTGACTGTGACTCCTTTGATGCAAAGTACAGAGAAAAACACCTGCTAATTTCTGGTCTGTTTGATCTTGTTTAGTTGTTTTTTTATTATACAGTCAGTTATAAAAATGATCATTTTTGTATTGTTGTGACTATGTTTTTATTGTGTATTTTGGCTGTTTGTGGTTTCTGTGTGGAATTTAAACCTATATATTTAATGAATATTTCTTGAAATAAATTTATGAATATGTTAATTAACCTGTCTCTATAGTGTCATTGATTGTAATTGTTGTGTTTAACAAATCATTTCAATTTAAACAAGTCCAACTGTGTTATTTCATATGATATAAATTGATATTTTCACTAGGATTGATACCACAATCAGTATTTTGTTTTTTTATTGATAACATATGACCAATAAATAGCAATATGCCATTCATATTGTAAATTTAGAACAATTCAATATATTTTAGAAAAGTTTGATTGAAAAGAATTGTCTGTAGTGGGATTCAAAACTCTTGCTTAGCATGGAAAAATATTTTAAAATTTATAAATTATAAATTAAAAGAAAAAATCCCTTTTTAATATAGTATATGTAAATAATTTAGATTTTATAATAATTAAAATAACAGTTATTTTGAAATTGTTTCTCTGTAATAAAATAGTTTGCCATCAGTTGGCATAAAACAAAAACTAAAATAAATTAACAATATAACAAAAACCAACCTGTCTAGTAAGAGAACTGTAAGGACTGGTGGAACGGGAACTGGAGAGACTGGGAGAATAAGGTGGGAAAATCTAACAAGGAAGGTTAACAAAACAAAAATGTATGGTTACAAAAATAAAAAAAAAAGAAAAGAAACAAAATAAATTATAATACAAAGAAACACATTATGTAGTATTTGTGTCATTAGTAACAAAGTTATTTGCTAAATTAAATTTAAATTCAATTTTATATATTTTAAAATGTTTACAAAATTAAACTGTTAATGATTCTGCATAACTTTAATAAGTTTTCTATAGATTTAGAACAATATGCTTTCTTGCTTTATGATTGCTTGTTTACTTTCACTTTTACAACATTTGTAAGTTTCCTGTTGTGACTATGCAATATGTTTATATAAAAACTGTGTATTTGAGCAGTAAACAGGTTCCAATACATAATATGCAATTTACAGATATACAGGAAAATTAATAAGAAATATAAATAAATACCTGTTTAATAATTTTTACCTGTAGTAAACCTCAACTCGGACTAATAGGGGTGAAAGTTGTCTAAGTTTATGATAGTCCAAGTCAGCAGGATGTTTTCTCCAATAAAAACTTAAAGTGAATAAAGAGTATAGTTTATTTATGATTTTTAAAAATTGATTTATTTATTTATTATCATCAGTTATAGTGCTGAATTTATTATTACTGGAAATAAGCTGGAAAATTTCATGACAGTACAATATACAACAATGTACAGTCTTTATTAATTTACCAACTACAGTAATATAATACACAGTATTGCAAAGACTTCCAGATATAGAAAACACTCATTTCAAGAACATTAAACACAATGCAGTGTACAGTACAGTAAAATATTATTTGTCAGAGTTGAACAAGGACTCATTCTTTTGTACCCAGCATAGCTTATGCTTGACTTTGACTCCTTTGATGCAAAGTACAAGGAAAATGCCTGCTAATTTCTAGTCTGTTTGATTTTGTTTAGCTGTTTTTTTATTATACAGTCAGCTATAAAAATTATCATTTTTGTATTGCCAATAAATTTTACATTATTGTATAACTGAAAAAAAATTGTATAAGTTATGAGAAGTCTGACTTATCAGGGTCCAAGTTAGTGGGGGTTTACTGTGTTTAGTTTACCTATTTTGTCAATAAACATTACAAAAAAATTTTTCTGGAATTTTCAAAAGCTGTATGTTATAAAATTTCCTACCTGACCATCAATATTATTTGCTTGATCATCAAATACATTATCATCTAATTTACTATCTGGTCTTGGTCCACATCGAGGATGCCAAATAGCACCACCTAAGTGGAAAAAAAAAATAATACTTTCAAATTAGATTTTATTATATATTTATAATAATTCAAAACTAAAAAATTAAAGCTTTAAATTTTCAAGTAATTGAAATATAATTTTCTAATTAATATCTCATTAACATAATTATAACAATATTATAATTATAATATTGTTTTAATTTATTCTATATACTATTTATAATTTCTTTAATCCTACACTCTAACTGATAGAAAGAAATTAAAACATTGGAGAGACAAGTAAAGGAAAGAAATTAAGATGAAAACAAATTAAACTTTGCTTGAATTTCTTACAAACAATAAAGAATATCTTTAAAAAAGCAGAAATTGACACACTTAACTTTATATCAAGATACAATTTGTTTTGAATTCAAAATCCTAAATTCAAGCTTCAGTTCCATCAAAATTCAAGCAGAACATTAAAATGAGATCATAAATTGAATAGAACAAACTAAAGTACATTAACAGCTGTTTGTGGTGCAGACTGCATAGCACTTGGAGTCCAGCTGACATAAATCCACTTTGCAGTATTATTATTTATCCTTTTTTATTTAAGTATTTATTGTTCTTGTTATTAATTAATTTATATTTAATTTTACTTATTTTTTATATCTATTTTTTTATTAATTTATATTTATATTTTCATATTAATTTTGCATCCTCAAAAATTTTCTTGATATATATTTTATTTTACAATCATCTTCTTAATATGAACTCCTAGTAATTGAAAAAAACAGGTTTCTATTACTCTTCTACTTCATTTCAACATTTGAAACTGCTCTATTTTTTACATATTTGAACATGTCTTCCTGTATAAACTTATTTGTTTAAATAACATTTGATTTTTCAAAATATATCAGTGTTAAGATTATATTCTAATAATCATATATCAATTTAATAAACATTTAAACATTAAAAGGAAATTAATCTAATTAGTAACTTTTAAATCAAAAACTATACATAATAATTCAGATGTATAAGCATTTTGATGCTTCTGATTTTAAATGTTAAAAAAATTTATAAGATATAATTATTATAATTAATATTATAAAATTATTAACATTGTAATATCATATTCCTACTCTCACCCTGCATATACATTTCTTCTCCATCTCCAAAAGGGTCTCCACATTTTGAACAACGAGCACAAGTAGGATGAAAATGATGGGTATCACCAGCCTATTAAAATAAGTTTTTTCAAATTAATTTAACTTTTAGTTTATTAGTATTCATGTTATTCATATTAAAAACTAAGAATATAAAAAAATATATCTCCACATTTCATAATTTTCTAGATAAAAGAAATAATTTTAGTAAGTTTGAATTTGTAGCTAACAATTAATAAAAATTAAATTTTAACAATTGCATTAATAATATCAAAATCATAGTTGTATTTATTACATATTGTTCCGTAATATACAATTTATAATATATTTATTATATATGTAAAAGTTCTATATCACTTTAATTATCATAAAATCTTCTGTGTTGAAACTGTGCCTTTTTTTTATGTTATATTTTGAGACACCATAAAGTGCTGACACTAGACACCGGACTTTTCCACATCCATTTTATTTTCTTATGTACTTTACAGTTTCAACACATAGAAGATACTTATATATATATTTTTTTGAAATGACTGATTATATCCAACTAAAAACTATGAAGACATACCAGATAAAATAACTACAGAAGACCAACACTGGATTAACACTTGGAACAATTAGTTTAAAGACTGCAAAGTATATAAAAAAATAAAGTGGATGTAGAAAAGTCCAGTGTCTTTCATCAATTAATTCATCAACACTTCATGGTGTCTCAAAATATAAAATCATTAAAAAAGACCAATAATGAATATAACTGCTGATTATTCATCATTTACCAACTAATATTTAAATTCATTAATGATGACAAAGATTCAGATGTCCACAGTTCTTTGTGATAATCTATATTCTTATACTTTAGTTTAAAACAATATTTATTGTACATAATCAGTGGCATACTAATGGGATACAGGGATGAATCTAGCCCAGGCAACAATCAGGAGGGGTGTAATTGGAAGAGTTGAAATACTATAGGGACCTTGAATAAGTTCTCGCTGTTTTTTAACAAATGGCATTACCAGAACCACATGTGTTTATTTTTAGATGGTGATGCATTTGTAAGGAAGTACAATAAGCGACCTTGAAATTCAGTATATGTCATTTCACCGAAGTGTAAACAACTTATTTTTTCATTGTGTTAAACATGTCAAGTTTCGTTCCAAAAAAAGAGTATTTGCGGGGAATTTTATTGCACTATTTTATTAAAAAAAAATCTGCAGCTGAAGCACACAAAATTCTTGTTGAGACTTATGGTGACCATGCTCTGTCGGAAACAACATGCAGAGATTGGTTTAGATGCTTCAAAAATAATGATTTTGATGCTGAAGATAAAGAACGATCTGGTGCACCAAAAAAAGTTTGAAGACAAGGAATTAGAGGCATTACTTCATGAAGACTCATGTCAGATGCTAGCTGAACTTGCAGAATCATTAGGAATTGATCACACAACAGTTTCAAAATGTTTAAAAGGATTAGGAATGATTCAAAAGCAAGGACATTGGGTGCCGTAAGAGTTGAAGCCAAGAGATGTCAAATGGCGTCTTTTCACATGTGAACAGCTGCTTCAACGGTGAAAAAAGAAAGGTTTTCTGCATTGTATCGTGACAGGCTATGAAAAATGGATACACTACGATAACCCTAAGCATAGAAAATCGTGGGGTAAGCCCGGCCATGCATCAACATCGTCAGTAAGGCCGAATATCCATGGTTTGAAGCTTTTGCTCTGCATCTGGTGGGATCAGCTAGGTGTAGTTTATTATGAGCTGCTCAAACCAAACGAAACCATCACGGGAGATCGCTATCGACTACAATTGATGCATTTGAGCCAAACATTGAAGGAAAAATGGCCGCTATATGAGCAGAGACACGACAAAGTGATTTTGCGACATGACAATGCTCGGCCACATGTTGCACAACCGGTGAAAATGTACTTGGAAACGCTTAAATGGGAAGTCCTACCCCACCTGCCGTATTCACCAGACATTGCCCTTCCGATTATCACTTGTTCCGATCGATGGCACATGGCCTGGCTGAGTAGCACTTCCATTCTTATGAGATGACAAAAAAATGGGTTGATTCTTGGATAGCCTCAAAAGACGTGTTGTTTTTTCCGACATGAAATTCAAATGCTGCCAGAACGATGGGAGAAAGTAGTGGCTAGCGATGGACAATACTTTCAGTGATGTGTTTATTACGACTTTTTTTAAATAAAGTGTTAATTTTCACAAAAAAACAGCAAGAACTTATTCAAGGTCCTTATAATACAAGTTAACTAAAAAAAAAAAAAAGTCCTGTAGGAAATTTCCTAAAGGCATCATGAGCATAGAAAACAGGTAAAAAATGTGCTACTATAGTGCTGTCTGACAAAATTTTGGGTAATGAAGGAGAATTGTCTGAAAAAGTGTTGATATCATAACGTTCTCTCATGAATACATGCATGTGCAGACAGTGAGAAAACAGAGTATTGTGATTCTGACTGATATTTATCAGTTTATAACTGTATTGGATTGTGTTCAACCAAAGTTGCCAGATTAGGCAATTTCATTATGATAACTGGTTTAAAGTTGAATTTTGCAACTCATTCAAATTTATTATGGGAGATGCTAAAGAACTCATCCCAAATGCCAAATAATTAGGCACATCTCTGTATATAATTGTAATGATTATTAAGTTTTCATTTTTCTCATCGAGTATAATAGTCAAAAAATATTTCATATAAAAATTAACTTACTAGGCTTTATGAAGACTTCTATCTTATTATCTTTTAATTATAAAATAATTTTATGATAAAATTATTAACATTGTAATATCATATTCCTACTCTCACCCTGCATATACATTTCTTCTCCATCTCCAAAAGGGTCTCCACATTTTGAACAACGAGCACAAGTAGGATGAAAATGATGGGTATCACCAGCCTATTAAAATAAGTTTTTTCAAATTAATTTAACTTTTAGTTTATTAGTATTCATGTTATTCATATTAAAAACTAAGAATATAAAAAAATATATCTCCACATTTCATAATTTTCTAGATAAAAGAAATAATTTTAGTAAATTTGAATTTGTAGCTAACAATTAATAAAAATTAAATTTTAACAATTGCATTAATAATATCAAAATCATAGTTGTATTTATTACATATTGTTCCGTAATATACAATTTATAATATATTTATTATATATGTAAAAGTTCTATATCACTTTAATTATCATAAAATCTTCTGTGTTGAAACTGTGCCTTTTTTTTATGTTATATTTTGAGACACCATAAAGTGCTGACACTAGACACCGGACTTTTCCACATCCATTTTATTTTCTTATGTACTTTACAGTTTCAACACATAGAAGATACTTATATATATATTTTTTTGAAATGACTGATTATATCCAACTAAAAACTATGAAGACATACCAGATAAAATAACTACAGAAGACCAACACTGGATTAACACTTGGAACAATTAGTTTAAAGACTGCAAAGTATATAAAAAAATAAAGTGGATGTAGAAAAGTCCAGTGTCTTTCATCAATTAATTCATCAACACTTCATGGTGTCTCAAAATATAAAATCATTAAAAAAGACCAATAATGAATATAACTGCTGATTATTCATCATTTACCAACTAATATTTAAATTCATTAATGATGACAAAGATTCAGATGTCCACAGTTCTTTGTGATAATCTATATTCTTATACTTTAGTTTAAAACAATATTTATTGTACATAATCAGTGGCATACTAATGGGATACAGGGATGAATCTAGCCCAGGCAACAATCAGGAGGGGTGTAATTGGAAGAGTTGAAATACTATAGGGACCTTGAATAAGTTCTCGCTGTTTTTTAACAAATGGCATTACCAGAACCACATGTGTTTATTTTTAGATGGTGATGCATTTGTAAGGAAGTACAATAAGCGACCTTGAAATTCAGTATATGTCATTTCACCGAAGTGTAAACAACTTATTTTTTCATTGTGTTAAACATGTCAAGTTTCGTTCCAAAAAAAGAGTATTTGCGGGGAATTTTATTGCACTATTTTATTAAAAAAAAATCTGCAGCTGAAGCACACAAAATTCTTGTTGAGACTTATGGTGACCATGCTCTGTCGGAAACAACATGCAGAGATTGGTTTAGATGCTTCAAAAATAATGATTTTGATGCTGAAGATAAAGAACGATCTGGTGCACCAAAAAAAGTTTGAAGACAAGGAATTAGAGGCATTACTTCATGAAGACTCATGTCAGATGCTAGCTGAACTTGCAGAATCATTAGGAATTGATCACACAACAGTTTCAAAATGTTTAAAAGGATTAGGAATGATTCAAAAGCAAGGACATTGGGTGCCGTAAGAGTTGAAGCCAAGAGATGTCAAATGGCGTCTTTTCACATGTGAACAGCTGCTTCAACGGTGAAAAAAGAAAGGTTTTCTGCATTGTATCGTGACAGGCTATGAAAAATGGATACACTACGATAACCCTAAGCATAGAAAATCGTGGGGTAAGCCCGGCCATGCATCAACATCGTCAGTAAGGCCGAATATCCATGGTTTGAAGCTTTTGCTCTGCATCTGGTGGGATCAGCTAGGTGTAGTTTATTATGAGCTGCTCAAACCAAACGAAACCATCACGGGAGATCGCTATCGACTACAATTGATGCATTTGAGCCAAACATTGAAGGAAAAATGGCCGCTATATGAGCAGAGACACGACAAAGTGATTTTGCGACATGACAATGCTCGGCCACATGTTGCACAACCGGTGAAAATGTACTTGGAAACGCTTAAATGGGAAGTCCTACCCCACCTGCCGTATTCACCAGACATTGCCCTTCCGATTATCACTTGTTCCGATCGATGGCACATGGCCTGGCTGAGTAGCACTTCCATTCTTATGAGATGACAAAAAAATGGGTTGATTCTTGGATAGCCTCAAAAGACGTGTTGTTTTTTCCGACATGAAATTCAAATGCTGCCAGAACGATGGGAGAAAGTAGTGGCTAGCGATGGACAATACTTTCAGTGATGTGTTTATTACGACTTTTTTTAAATAAAGTGTTAATTTTCACAAAAAAACAGCAAGAACTTATTCAAGGTCCTTATAATACAAGTTAACTAAAAAAAAAAAAAAGTCCTGTAGGAAATTTCCTAAAGGCATCATGAGCATAGAAAACAGGTAAAAAATGTGCTACTATAGTGCTGTCTGACAAAATTTTGGGTAATGAAGGAGAATTGTCTGAAAAAGTGTTGATATCATAACGTTCTCTCATGAATACATGCATGTGCAGACAGTGAGAAAACAGAGTATTGTGATTCTGACTGATATTTATCAGTTTATAACTGTATTGGATTGTGTTCAACCAAAGTTGCCAGATTAGGCAATTTCATTATGATAACTGGTTTAAAGTTGAATTTTGCAACTCATTCAAATTTATTATGGGAGATGCTAAAGAACTCATCCCAAATGCCAAATAATTAGGCACATCTCTGTATATAATTGTAATGATTATTAAGTTTTAATTTTTCTCATCGAGTATAATAGTCAAAAAATATTTCATATAAAAATTAACTTACTAGGCTTTATGAAGAACATGAAACCTAATGGCA